TGAAGAACAATGATGTCAGTTAGGGATTAAGGTACTTGCTATGTGTCTGAGAGCTGGACAATGATGAAGGACAGTACAAGAAAAACCAATTCTTTTGAGTTGTGATGCTGAATAAGAGTGTTTAACATGCTATAGACTGACAGAAAAACAAACAAGTCAGTCCTGGTTAGGGTGAAACTCAGCTGCTCCCTGGAGACAAGAATTTTGAAACTCTGTCTCACATACTTTGGGCAGGTGGCCAGGAAAGACCCATCCTTGGAGAAGGACATCAGGTTCAGAAGGGTGGAGGAATAGCACAAGAGAGGAAGACACTGGATAAGATGAACTGATACAGTGACTAGGGCAAAAGGGGTTGATGTGTTGGAATTAGTCAGATTGGCTCAGAACAGGGCAGGCTTCGGAGCTGTTGTACCTAGGGTTGCTATAATTCACAGGTGACTTGACGGCACATAAAAACAATGACAGATGTACCTGAAAATTGGGATAAAACATAAAGAAGAGCCAAGAATAATCTATATCTTTGAATTATGGTACTGGTGAATAGTATTGAATATTCTCACCACTGGGCCAATTGGCAGCATGATGATGGAGAAGAGTTTGAGGTTGTTAACAATACAGCTTGCTTAATTCCACAATTGACACATATAATACCAGCAATCAGGAGATCAAAAGATTAATTGTACTGGGAAAATTGGCTGTCAGAGACCTCTTCAGAGTACTGGGGGAACAATGATTTCAGTCTAGAGACTAAGGTGCACCAGATCCAGGCCATGGTCTTTACAATTACTTGGTATGCATCAGAGAGCTGGACAATGACTAAGGATAAGAAAAGCAGAACCAATGCCTTGGAGTTGAGTTTCTGGAGAAAAGTCTTGAACATACCATGGACTGCCAAAATAACAAACAGGTCTACTTTGGAAAGGGTAAAAGCAAGTTTCTCCTTGGAGGCAAGGATTTTGAAGCTCTGTCTCACATACTTTGGGCACGTGGCCAGTAGGGACCAGTCCTTGGAGAAGAACATCATGCTTGGAAGGGTGGAGGGACATAGCAAGACAGGAAGACCCTGAGTAAGATGGATTGACACAGTAACTGAGATGTTGGAGTCAGTGAGACCAGCTCAGGTTAGGGCAAAGTTCAGAGTTATTGTACATGAGTTGCAGATGATTCTATGACACATATCAACAACAACAACAACAACAACTTATGATGAAAGCATATCACTAATGATGAGACATCATGGTGTATAATTTAACCTATTCATCAGGTGGCGAAAATACCAGGACAAAAATAACAAGAAGACCTTAAAGGAGATAGATTGATACAGTATCTGCAGCAAAAAACTTTAACAAAGCAAATTGTGATGATGGCATAGGATCAGGCAAGATTTTATTCTGTTGTAAATGTGGTGACTATGAGTTGGAGACAACTTACCAGTACCTAAGAACAACTGCATTATCAATATAAATATTTGATCAGAGATCCAAAGACCAGATGATGCAGCTTGTCATGAGACATTCTTGCTCTTAAATCGCAACCTCATAATTAATAACATTGTCCTTTTAATTTTCAAAATGTCCTTGTTTAGCAATTATCTGATTGTCTCAGTCATATAATTCCATATTTATACTGAATTTCTTTTTTAAT